GTGTTGTGTATATGTGTTGAGAGACACGCAATATATTGAGGAATATATACCTGTTTTGGGGGCAGAGGTATAGAGACTGTGAGGGATAGGGAGGATAGGGTGGCAACACATAAGCCAATGGTTGGCACTTTGAGGCCAACACTCTATGCATACTAACAGTACAGACAAACACATAGCGAGAGTGAAATCGTTGTCAACCAAAACTAGTGTTGAAGCTATAGTGTAGTGAAAGTTGCCTTTAATTAGATTGAGAGACCACTTGTTGTGGACAATATCACAGCTACTCATCAATAATACATCGCTTGACTCTATAGAGTGTACACTATATGGACATCACTAACAGCTCATAGCATTGATCGCCGATATATACAGCATATGATCCGTGAATTGAGTCTCAAGTTTGGCCAAAATAAGTCCACTCAACAACTCTACGGGCTATACATGTACTGTAGATGTGCTCACTTCTAATAGTGGTGTATATGTGATAGTGATTGTAATGGTCAGTGCCTTGAATGCCACTCGCGGGTGAAGTGATGTGTTAGTGGACCCGATCGGTGGTGTCTTTGTGATCATCTTTGTCTACACATCAATAGACTGTACACTTGCTGTGCACTGACTGTGGCAGCAGTGGTGGAGCGCATGCGCCAACTCTAGACTCCATTGCATTAGTATTGCATTCATTTGACAATACATTCACTCATCGATTGTTCACTCAATACAAGCCATTCATTCATTACATTATATTTATATTTATTTTTATAATTCATTACAAATTGTTTGATATTATTATTAATATTAGTTATTAATGGTTAATAATAATGACTATTGAAACAAATGTTTATCAATATTAAGTGAAATCGTTTTGTTATTAATAACTGTTATAGAAATCTATCTATTTTTGTGCGACAAGTGATCTAAAGCCTAATAACAGCGATGTCTTCGTGCGGTAATGAGTCCAACGGTAACCATCAGATCCTGAGGATCAACAGCGGGGCCAATGATTTGGACGAACTGTTCAAAGCGGTGGCCAATCCTAAGGACAGTTACATCCCTCTGTCAGTGCCTATGCGTCAGCGCAATCTTCCGGCCTCTTTCTTCAGGCCTCCCGACGGCTCCACCAGTGCTTCCCATTCACGCGAGTCATCCCTCGACGCCTCCTTCTCGCCCCCACTCTCGCAGCCCTCGGGATCGCCATTGAGTCCGGCGTCGCCTCAGCAGCCGTCGCTTCAGCAACACATGTCCGCAGTTCCCGCCGGTCTCACTATAAGCCACCCGAGAGCCCACTCGTCGCCCGCCTCTCTGCAGCAGACGCTGGCCGTGTCGGCAGCCATGGCTTCGGCCCAACAGCAGCAGTCCGTTCACTTGAGGCAATACAGCTATGATATCGATGCCATACCACTGCCAGAGGGCTGGCAGATGAACAAGACGGAGACCGGAGAGCGATATTTCATCGATCATAACAATAAGACTACTCAATGGGAAGACCCGCGCAAGAAGCAGATCCAACAGCAACTTCAGGCACAAATCCAACCCCGACTTGTGGTCGTCTCGCAAACCAATAATAATACCGCCAATAATGCCATTAACAACAAGACGAGCGGTTCGGCCACTAATCTGTCCTCAAGTTTGGGTCCATTTCCCAAAGGCTGGGAATCTGCGCACACCGAAGACGGGGACGTCTATTACATCAGTCACATCGAGTGTAGGACCACTTGGATTGATCCGCGACTCCCGCTATCCGCTCAACAAAGTAGAGCTCAACTGCACACCGGACGGACACCTCCGCCGCCATTCACTGGAAACACAGTACCGCCGAGTCTTGTGGCCGCTCTCCAGAACATGAACACATCGGGCAACACATCCGCGGTGTCGACCACCGACACGATCCGTCTTCAGCAGCAACAACACCAGCGAACACTTCTCACACTAGAGTTGGAGCGACAAAAGTTGCGTCAAAGACAGAGTGAGATCCTCTCGAAGCCATCACCTCTCGTCCCCTCATCTCTTGTCGACAACACGTCTGGCATTCGATTGCCTCCCATTTCGAGCACTGGAATCGATCCGTTCTTAAGCGGAAACAGCAGTGCATTCAATAATAACGATTGCCATTCGCGACAAGAGAGCGCCGACTCTGGTCTGGGTTTGGGCTCCAACTATAGTCTCCCTCACACTCCCGAAGACTTCCTCAACATTGAGGACGCGCTCAACGGCGGAGACGACGCCAACAATAACATGAGTCGTAACAACGACTTGGGTTTAGACGGTCTGGCGGTCGGGAGTCTGGATCTCGTGCCCGAAAACATGGAGTCCGACGACTTGGTGCCCACTCTGACCGACTTCGGCACCGATATCTTGTCCATCGTTGAGGAACAGCTCGACAGTAATAGAGATAATATCATGACTTGGCTTTGATTTGATAGACAAACCAAAACGCTTGAAACGACGCAAACAAAACAATTAAGTATTTTCTATACAAAACAAAAAACATAAACTAAAAGCTTTTCCAATAATGTCTTAAATTAATTATAGAGTAATTAAATGGTTAAACAATGCAAACAAATGCTATAAACCTTATAATTTAGTGTTTGAAACAAAATAATTATCAAATCAATTGACAATATGTTTGAGTCCATAATTATAGCGCATAATAATTACACGAGAAATGAAAATATAGGGAAATATGAGTTAATATTACATTTACTTTACTTAAGCGAATATTACTCATTAATATTCGTATCTTAATTACTGCACTGTTTTTAATCGTTATCTTATTTACTATAATATTGTTTTGTCTTTTATTTGTATTGTTTTTCTCTATTACTATATTATTATTATATCTGTTTTTATCATCTGTTGATAACTTTTATTTTTTTCAAATCTACTTTTTTCTCATTGCCTTAAATAGTATTTTTCGTCAAATCAATTGTTATTTACCTTTTTCTCATGTTTTGGTCATTCTTTTAGATGTATTCTCCGCTCATTATTATAATTAGTAATTATTATTATTATTATTGCGATTACTATTACGAGAAAAAACTATAACTTTTTACTGCCTTAATGTTTGAGATAAGACTTCAATTAGGACTAAAACTTGATTTCATATTCATATATGAATCCAATGTTTAGTATAATATAATGTTTGTATTTTGAAATTTGCAAACCAAATATCTTTAGTGTTAATACTTTTTGTTAATATAATAACTATTATTATAATTATTGTTAAGTTATCGCAAATCCCATTATTATTCATTGGAAGCAATAATGAGTTGCGATTTTGCGGTCACAACACAATACCTATTATAAGAGCTCTTAATAATTATGATTACCATTAATTGTCAAACAAATGATTTGGATCTTATAATTATGATTATTAATAATATTATTGTATAATTGCTTAAATGGCAGCCAATATGAAGCAGCTATTTGTTAATGAGAGCTAATATCTAGTTATGAACTCATCAGACAATCCGATCCTATTATAGTATTTACAGCTAATATTTAAGTATATTTTTATATTTTTTATTTTACATTCAAATACAATATATATGTATGAGAATCAAAGTGCCTCACAATCTCTCAAAAACAGTTTGATTTATACACACAATAATTCTATCAATTTATTAATTATATAACTATTTAATTTGTATTTTATATAAAGACGAACGCCTTTAAGTGTTTAACATTTAATATAATATAATAACTGGTGGTTTAAAACAGCGATTCAAACAAAAGCCAATTCGCCAACAAATGTGTTATTTTCGACACTTGTTTTACGGGCTCTTTATTTTCCATATGATTATTATTATAATTATAATGAATTTATTTTTCGCAGTTTTGTTATAGTTTTTCTTTTGGTGTAATGTTGAGAGTATTTCAAAATGATTACATTTAAGCCATTATATGAGTCGCAAAATGTAATGACAATTTCAAACCCAATTATATTCGCATCTCTTTTTCAGTTTAATTTATGTATTGATATATCATTTGTGTTGTGTTTGAAACGGCAGCTCAAACTGTAGTTTACATTAATTATATGGTTATTATATATAATGCTATCACATTTGTCTCAACAAATCTATACAATACGCCCATCACTACTGGTGTTTAGATTTTCAATTAATTGATAACTAATGTCTCCAAATGTTAAACAATGATAAACCAAATGTTATATTTAAAGCGAACTTAAGATATAAAACTTGTAAAAGTAGTGCCTTATTATGTGATGAAAGCGCTGAAAATGCAGTTTCAAATATCATAAACTTTCAAACTATGTTTTAATGTAATTTAAATCTCAATTAAATTGCGTTAAATATATTGTATAACTTGTATAAAACAAGTGCCAAATTGTTTTCAATATAAAACTACTATTATATCGAAACACAACATTTTGAACAACATTTTTATTTTATTTAAACAATAATATCCTAAACAATATTTTAAGTTAAAAACTTATTATACATTTTAATTATATATCAATTATTATGAATTTAAGGTTTATATTTATGTGTAAACCAAATGTGTTTAAACGCTATTATGATTGTAAAACTTCTTTTGGTTTAAGTTAACTATTATTATATACAATAATAATTTGCACACAAATACCGGTAGACATCTGTAGACTTGTTTTGCTGCTTAAGAATAAATAAAGTTTTTTGAAACTATTTATTGACTATTGTTTCTATTTTTGTCATTTACTGCCATTTATTTGTCACACTATTAGTTATGTGAAACATATCATACAATCTATATATCCATTTCATACGACTCATCAATTCCTGTGTCACTCATGAGGAAGTCTGACAAACAATCGCTTTAAACAACTATTAATTTGCAATCAATTAATTCATTGTTGCATTCATTATGGTTTTGGTAAGAATATGATGTATGCATAATAAACATGTAATTAATACCAAATATACTTAAATCGTTTTAAGCATTCAATTCAGAATGGATTCAAATGGCTTTTACATGGATTTTGCCGTTTAAAGTAAAGTATTTGATATTTAATTTAATTACAGTATTCTTTAGATTTTATGAATGAATTTTCTAAATCTCACATTTCATGTATATTTGATTAAATTTCTATTTTATTGTTATAATTAAAAATAATAATAAATTCTGTTTAAACTATAGATAATAGTTGTTCTCAAATATCGATTAAGAATAATAATGAGATGAATTGATTTGATGTCTCATTTAAAATATCTATTAATGGTGTGATTTCCATGAATTAAACTAATATTTTTAAAGTACATCAATCATAGATGTAATTAATAAATGATTCATAAAATATCAATAATTATAAGTCTAATTCTGATTATTTTTTTGCACACATTATAGATATGAGTGAAATATTATATTGAATTTCAATTAAAGAAACTAATTTTTATTGAAATTAAATTATTGAAACTTTCATTTACTGTAATCTAAACTTATAAATTATTACCTAATTTTGCACTAAATTCAATTATCAGCAAGTATTAAATACAATGATTATTATAATTTCCATGAAATTAAGACACATTGTTTATACAGTACAGTAGTGTAAGCCTTATATCTATTTATTGCCACAATTGATAAATAATTGCTGTGATTAGTAGAGAAGGTGTGAAAGGCTTTCAATTAGCGACTTATTTTTAAAATCATTATTATTACTATATTTTCAATCGTTTTATTAATTTTGTTAACAATAAAGTTTTATACAACCTTATTATTAATAAGTTATTAATATTATATTAACTAAAAAATAAAAATATTAATCTCTTTATTTTAAAACAAAATTGGTTTTTAATCGTTTATAAAATCTTAAAATAAGAAAGTGTTGCTTAATATTGAAGTGAATTAAACGAGTGGGAAGTGTTGATAAGAAAAGGTGAATTAGTGTGATATACTGTAAACATAGAAACAACTACATATCATATAGTGTATGGTAAATTTTAATTAGTTGGGTAACAATCCAGTGCTGGTATAGTGTCGGTGCCAAACAGTTAACTAAATATAATTATTTAGACTTCAATTCAAGTTCACTTCCTGTTGATAGCAATAAAGCGATACTAATATAAACTAAAAACACATTTTCCTAGAAATGAAGTGAATTTTATAATAATAAAGATATTCTCAATGATTGGCACGACTTGTCTATAAAATCAGATTTAAATCCAGTTATATATTTATGGCAAAGAATTTATTTGTAATACAATTCCTGTGTTATTCAATATGTTAGGGAAATGTGTAGCAAAACACACGGAATGACATATATTTTCATATAATTTTAGATACATTTACACAAATCAGATGATCGTTTCATTTAAATAATAATACCATTCGTAAAGTGAGTTTGCTTTGATAGAGAGGAGGCAGACGTCTCTCTCTCTCTCTCTCTCTCTCTCTCTTAAGACTTTTATAAGTCTAACATAACTATTGATTTTAGTAAAGTGAGTTTGCTTTGATAGAGAGGAGGCAGACGTCTCTCTCTCTTTGACGGCATTTCGTATTATATAAAGAAAATGATTAAAATGAAGACAAGCCTTCAGACAGACATCGTTTGCATAACCAAACAGTTAACCGATTGTTAAGATCTTTTGTCTCCACACTTGAAGCCGACACTTATTTGACGAGAAAACCTGAAACAAACCGTACGATTGCACCCATATTTGGCTTTTTATCACCGATTCTTACAAAATAATATGATTCTCAGATAAAAGATAACGGTAACAGTAAAATCAACATTTTTATCATTAAGTCAACACTTAGTTAAGAACTTATTTTTGTTAAAGGGTTTAAATTAGTCTAAAAATGGTAATTACACACAATGTTAGACCCATTAGTGAATTCAGAATTTTAGTTAAAGATATTAATGGTTTGATTTATTAAACATTTTTTATTGGTTAACTATAAATATTATTTATTAACTAATGTTTAAATTTCTATTTTTATAATAATAAAGTTCATCAAATGGTTGACCGACTTCTAACTAAATGCCAATTGTGTGACCACACAATCCAAGGCTCTTTTATTGACATCTAATTTGCATAAAGACATCATAACATCGAGAATTAATATGTGTTTTAAACAATTTATTAATTTTATTAACAATATCTTGTTGTTTGCATTGAAAGCAATATTTAATGTGATGGAAAAGCTTGTGTTTTAATTCAGATTCTAATATTTGGTCTTAGATTCAACTGAACGAAGAATATGGTGGAAGATATGGACAATAAAATGGCCATTAATTTGCTAATCAGACGATAGGAGTGAGTGGTTATGTGATCCGATGTGGTCTCCAACCTGGGATCACATCTGGGCTAACACTACACATATTGATAGAATGTGGTCGATTGTTTATATTATCACACATTATTAAAATTGAATGTTGTGTTAAATGCATTACCGGTTTAGCAAAAGTAATATTT